AAGAGGCTCTCAGATGTCTATCATTCTTCTAGATGGTTCTTTGCAAGGTAGGGTCACAGATGCTGGTCCCATTGGTGAGCTATCCTTCATGAAATCAGATCACAGGTACTCATCACACCTCAGGGTGGTCCTACAGGAATCCATTTGTGAATGTTGGCCCCTCCTCCAGCATGGTGCTTGGAATCCTTGTCTCTGTTCCTCTGCAGACTTTGGCTCTGACCAGTTTTCCAGTTCAATGAATTCTGTGTGATTCAATGATTCTGACTCAGTTTTCCTCCTCTATTTATAGTTTTTCTGTTGACATGTTTCTGCCTGTAGTCTTGGGCACTTGCTCTGAGTTTCCTGTGAGTGTGAATCGTGGATCTGGGGTGAGAGAAGAGGGTTTTTTTTGAGGCACCATCTTTCTTTTGCCGCTGCTCTGCACATCGTTTCCTCCTCTTTTTTCCTCTTTAAAGTATCTGTTACTTAGAGGACTATACTGCTTCTCTGAGGCTCTCTGTCTTAATCACAACTGCAGTCACCCTTTCTCACTGGGAGAGCTAGCTCCTCATACCTGCCAATCCCTCTGAGCCAAACTTGATCCCCCTACCCTGTTTACTTTGCAAAATTTCCTATTTTACTAAACTGCAGAGTTTAAACTGCTACCCACCTCTTTTGATAGCTGTTATCCAACTTTCCTTAGCTTATTCCCTGGGGATTCCAGCAGATCATACGTGCCTATTATCTGTGCCACCTCCCCTGATATATCCTGATGGCATTAATTGAACATTGTGATGCAGCAATGGAGCATTCAGGTGGGACTAACGTAATGTCACAGTAGAGCATTGACATGGTATCTGGAACTTTATCTTTGCAGAGAAGCAGCATCACAATGGCAATATTGAGCCTTGTGGTTTCACAGGGGAGCTTCAATGGCACAATGCAGCAATGTTAAAGTAAAACTGAACAACATGATGTCACGGTGCAGCATTGTGATTTGATAGTGGAGAAGTGAAGCCAAAACGTACTATTGTGATGGCAAAGTTGATGATTGTTATGAAAAAATTAAGCATTAAGATGTGATAATAGTTCTGAGATGTAACAATGCACCATTGTAGTCGCCCAATTGAGCACTTTCATATAAATATGAAGTAATGTGATGGTACAATGAAACATTGTGATGTCAATGTGGAACATCATAATGTCATGATAGAGTGTGATACCACAAGGCAGCTTCATGCTGGCACAGTTGGGTGTTGTGATGTCATAATGGAGTCTGTGATGACACAATGGAGCATTTTGATGGTTCAGAGTACCATTTGATGGCAAATTTGATGATTTCAATGTCACAATGGTACACTGTAATGTTAGAGTGGAGCTGTGATGTCAAAATGCACCATGTGATGGCATAAATGAGATTCGCCATAGAAACTGGAGAGTTATAATGGCACAACAGGTCATGTGATATAGCAGTAGAACCAGTGACATCACAGTGCAGCACTATGGTGCTACAATGGAGCACTGTTAGATTTCAAAGTAGGTTAGGGTTAGGGTTAGGGTTAGGGTTAGGGTTAGGGTTAGGGTTAGGGGTTAGGGTTAGGGTCGGGGTCGGGGTCGGGGTCGGGGTCGGGGTCAGGGTCAGGGTTAGGGTTAGGGTTCTCCTCAGGGTTAGGGTTAGGGTTAGGGTTAGGGTTAGGGTTAGGGTTAGGGTTAGGGTTAGGGTTAGGG